CTACACAAATATATGAATATTTTGCTGTGATCAGATCTTGAATATTACTCAGAAAAGACATAAGCTATGTATGAAATTTAAAATGTCATGAAACATATGCCTTCTGTACTTTTTATAAACAAATAAAAGACTATTAATCACGGTTGGCTGTCTGAATCTGTAAGACATATGTACAGGTCTTACTGATCCTAACACACCAGATGCCTCATCACCAACTCAAGTGTGAAGGTGAAAGAAGGGCAAACAGTTAAAATTGAAAATTGTACAAGGAAAGCACATCCTTCTTATAGAGGGCAATTAGAGGTCGATCTGACCTATAATAACAAGTTTCTGTTCCTCTTTAGTATTTAATGGAATATATGTTTCCTAAATGGAGCTTGAAACACATACCTTTGTGGTTATGCATTCCTGGGATAGTTTAAGTAACAGAAGTATAATGATGTTTTTGGAGCCGTGGACTAATTCACATAGTGGTACTCATGGTCACACAACAATAGACATATATTGTACACATTGACAGTGCTATAGGTAATCTATATGACCCATTCATGTCTCCACTGTATACCAACTTCTTCACACCTGCCCAGCAGGACATTTCTGTACTTATTCTTTTGCTGTGGGACTCCTTCTTATTTTGGAAATCCGCTATATCCTTTACTATTGGGACTCATCAAAATGCTTCTATTGGTGTTCTGAACTGGCCAGAAAAAACGTACAAAAAACATTTACCTACACCTCTAGCTTTACCTAACAAGATATCATAATTACTGTTGTTATATTTTCATATATTAACATTAAAAAGTACTGTCAATTGTGGACTCCAATCTTCGACTATGACTTCAGTATATACCTATTATTCATGAACATTATGCACACAATTTTCTATGTTGCACATGCTAGACTGCTGAATGGATAACTGTCATGTGCATCAGTTTAAAAATTTGAAATTCAAATGATCACTTATTCTATTGTGTTTATAATATTGACAATTCGTGAAAATTGTCCAAAATCTATGTGTTAGAGGTTCCTTCCTCATTAAGTCATTTCACTAAAAACTACATCGTTCTAGACTAATTTGATGTGGTTACCATGGTGATGGTACTGCTGTGGATCTATAGGGAAAGTTCCTTCCTATAATTGACCACCATCACCACTACTATTCCTCAGGGATGATTTGTCCATGGTTAAGACTATACAGATCAATGAAATTAAAATGGGGTCCTGACTTAGCTGGGGAAGAGTGCTGTAGCTTTAGGGTGCTAATAGCACACTCTGTGACAGCATATTGTGTTCAAAAACCCATAAAATCTGGGGTCAAATTAATTCAGTATAACACACTGTAATGTTTTGAGATATTCTTCAAATCAAATTTTCTCATGTTGGCTTAGCTTCTTTATGTGATGTAACCTGTCAGAGCTATCACAGTAAATATTTAAATTTTGCTTGAAATCAAGAAATCATTTGTAACATGGAGTGAAAAAATAAGAAATACCATATCATTCAGTAAATGTAAGTTGTTGAGACGGCCCCTCATGATTAGATATGATTACAATGTTCATGTTCCTGATACATATCATAAGGAAATGACAAAAGAAAGATGATCAAATTCCAAAGATGTGCCACAGATCTAATCTTCCCTACCACATGAAGATCACCTTTGGCTAACAACATGGATCTATTATGGGAAATGAACCCTGTCCCTCTCTGTAAGTGTAATCACTAACTTTAGATCTAAGCTCTGCATGACAGCACACTATTTTCCTATATGTACACAACAATTTTACCTATAGGCTACACATTCCAATATGTCCAGTCAAATTTGAACAGAATCAATGTTGACCAAAGGCCTGGAGATTATTTAGTGTCTTTGGACAATGTGATGGTCAACACCTGTATGAGGCTCCTACCTGTGTGTACAGGTAAAATACAGGTGGACTTTTGATCCAGGAAGTGCAGAGACATGTATATTGGTAGGAATATAAACTTTATGGTGGAATCTGTCAAGACCACACCATATAGTGATCCTACAATGGACATAATTGATTCTGATGTGGGAGGATATGACATGTATGACCTATGTTTAGGTATTATCTGTATATCATTCAAGGTGGAGTCCCTGATTGGTGGAAACCATGTTCAATGTGTTGATATATAAATTCCTATAAATAACCTACACACTATTTACATTAACTTCCATCAGATTTTGTTATCTTATTTTGTTACACTTTCATTCCATAAAATAAATGTAATAATAACTTTGGAAAATGTAATGATTAAAAAATCAGGTTAATTAAACTTTGGACAGTAAGTTATGTAGGATTTTCTATTCTTATGACTCCAGAGCTTCATTTCCAAAATTGTGATGAGTTAGTGACAAAGAGGTATAGTGGGTTCTTAAAATTTGATTGAGTCCCGAAGAAAAAGCATGTGTCAAAGACTCAAATATTTGAGTCACAACATACATTATAATCTACATGATACTAAATAATGCTGAAATGTCATCTAATGTTTGAAGAGTATGACAGATCAACTATTTATAGTCACCAGCCCCCATATACTACAGGTCCTTACACTTGCCATGGGGCACAACATTCAATGATGCATCACTCACTCATATTGAACTAAAATAGGACATAAGTCAGTGGTACATTAGTTGTGGTGGTAGCCCTTTCTCCACCACTTTACCTGTTACCTTGCCCTCAGCTGGCTAAATGACCCCCACTTTGTTGTATGTAACTAAAACCAAGCACTACTTCCAAATATCTTGTGGTAACCCTACCTCCACCACTATACCTGTAACCTTGCCCTCAGCTGGCTAAATGACCCCCACTTTGTTGTATGTAACTAAAACCAAGCACTACTTCCAAGTATCTCGTTGTGGTAACCCTACCTCCACCACTGTACCTGTAACCTTGCCCTCAGCTGGCTAAATGGCCCCATTTTGTTTTATATAACTAAAACCCAGTTCTACATCCATGTATCTCGTCATGGAAATCCTTCTTCCCCCAGATTACACTGTACTCATTACCTATCCATCAGCCAGCTAATTCACTCTTCCCCTTAGTTATAGGACAGAAACCCAGCACTACCTCCCATGTATATCTAGTTCAGGTAGTAACCATTACTCCACCAGGTAACTCTGTCCTCATTTCCGTAATTTACCATAACCTTCCCATTGGTTATATTTGAAACAGACCTTCACCAGTGCTAATTCCCTGGGTACAATTAATACGCTCAAACTTTTCCAGTCCGTTGCATCACATTTCTCTTAATTCATTGCTAAACAATTGCTACAAGAAAGATATCTCCTCCCATCATCCATCCCAACAATTTTTGTAAGAATATTTCAAGCAAGACTAGTGCACCTTTTCCAAAATTTTGATGAGGCCCACTACCAAGAGATAAAGCAGGTTTAGAAAATGAGTGAAGATCATAAGTCTATGACTCCAATATGTGAGTCTCCAAAATCACTGACCCTATAATTGTACTTTAGTACTATGGGTGACACATGAAGCATTTTTTGACACGATTCTGTTTTTATCGTGGGTTGGGTTAAAACTATTGCACTGACCACAATGGCATTAGATACACAGTCATATACTGTTGTTGTATCCACACATGTCAAATATGTTTTGAAGAGTAAAATCTGGGTCTTCGTCATTCCTATGTTACCCATTTAAACTGGTTAGTGCACATTTAAGGACAAAAAATTTTAAAACATAATGTAATAATCAGTGCCAGAGAGAATGAATGACAGATCACTTCTGTCTTTAAAAATACTGGGACATTAAAATTGCTACACTATTGATCTGCGATGTCTCAATAGAAGTTTCTAGCATCGATGAACAAGGAATATCCTGGTTTGATTGACAAGACATGGCATCAGCGAATTAGAACTAAATCCGTTTGTTGATTTGTTTCCACAAAAAGATATATCACACAGCACTGATACAGCTCAATTATTGTATTTATCCAGTGATAAGTCCATGCCTGATCAGAGGCAGTGTGTTGCTTTCCTGGGCTTACTACACGATAAATATGGTACCATTCAATAGGATAAAGTCTAGTTTCAACTTGCATCCATTTCAAAATTATTTCTATGTTTAAATTTACCGTTATTATTTTTTGCCAACTAATCTGAAAATCACAAAAATCTTACTAGTTAAAAATCAACAAAATCCAAAGGAAAACCATATCTTTTTTTTTAAAAAATTCTTACTTTACCATTCAATTACACATGCATTGCTTTCAAGTAGACTTTTGTGATACGATAGAAATCCTCCTTAGATGTTTAGATGGTACAGGTTTTTATAAATAAAATTTTACATAAACATAAAAATCTACATTGACAAAATAATCTGACATGTGACATACCAGAATGATGTTATATATACTGAGTCACCAATGCACTAAATAATATGTCAATGAATCAGATATCAGGTATTGATGTTTGGTTAAACCCCTTTTTAAATACACATCCCTGGTTTCTTACAGCTCACAAACTTTGCCGTTCAGTATATCAATAAAATTTACACTTCAAAATACATCCAGATCGAAAAAAGTCCACTTGTAATAGACTTCCCTCCTCATGAACATGTGTATTCTAGAAAGTAGGTCATGTCACCAGCCAAGGGAGACAAATTGACAACATTGGCACACCTGTACAGGTAAATCACAGGGGTGTGTCTTGAAACCAAATCAAATAATGTCCAGTGCTCATGCATTTATGAATGATAAAACCAAAACATTTTCAAATACACTTCAATCCATGTTCTGAACTTCGAGAATCAACACATCGCACAATCACAATTGTTTTCTTAGGTAAAAAGGGGGCGGCCATCTTGGAAAATTTGTTGACGATTTGTGACACCTGAGAGTTTACCTGTACATCAAAACTTAACTTTCAGTGCCAGAACGCAACACACTGCACCACACAAGTGACTTTCTATCATAAATAAATAATCTTCCATATAAAAACCATGCATATATCGTATATTTACCTCGTTTGGTTGGCTCAGTTCAAATAAATCGTAGTGATCTTGATTCCACTGGGTAATAAGATTCGAGAGCCGTTGCCTCTCTTGTGCCTTCTCTGCCGCATTCATACTGGTAAGTATTTCTCCATGAAATAATTGTAGAAATAAAACAATATTATATCCGATTGTCACCTCATATCAAGTTGTGGTTTCCTGTCGAAATACTATTTACACTTCAGCTGCTTCCGTATCGCTAAGAGAAGCTTTCAAACGGATTCTACGATCTTGTTACTCCACGCATGCGCCACTCCCACGTTTGATATGCAAATTTTCCAAGGTGCCCGCACCCTTGTGTTATCAGGGGTCGTCTCACAGGTGAAACGGAACTGAAGTGTTACAGCGGGAAGGGACGCAACTCGAACGAAACCAGTTCGATACATCAATTTGAAAATAATTATGAATTACTGCACAGTGTCCTGGATCTTATACTGTTACGGAGCATTTAATAAATGCGTTGCTTTAACAGACCATTCGTGAATCTTATTTTTTCCCTTTCAGGTAAGAACTTGACATTAACTATCACGTTTGTTGAGGTAAGATTGACATTAACTATCCCGTTTGTTGAGGTAAGATTGACATTAACTATCCCGTTTGTTGAGGTAAGATTGACATTAACTGTCCCGTTTGTTGAGGTAAGATTGACATTAACTTTCCCGTTTGTTGAGGTAAGATTGACACTAACTATCCCGTTTGTTGAGGTAAGATTGACATTAATTATCCCGTTCGCTGAGGTAAGATTGACATTAACTATCACGTTTGTTGAGGTAAGATTGACATTAACTATCCTATTTGTTGAGGTAAGATTGACACTAACTATCCCGTTTGTTGAGGTAAGATTGACACTAACTATCCCGTTTGTTGAGGTAAGATTGACATTAACTATCCCGTTTGTTGAGGTAAGATTGACATTAACTGTCCCGTTTGTTGAGGTAAGATTGACATTAACTTTCCCGTTTGTTGAGGTAAGATTGACACTAACTATCCCGTTTGTTGAGGTAAGATTGACATTAATTATCCCGTTCGCTGAGGTAAGATTGACATTAACTATCACGTTTGTTGAGGTAAGATTGACATTAACTGTCCCGTTTGTTGAGGTAAGATTGACATTAACTGTCCCGTTTGTTGAGGTAATATTGACATTAATTATCCCTTATGTTGAGGTAAGATTGACATTAACTGTCCCGTTTGTTGAGGTAAGATTGACACTAACTATCCCGTTTGTTGAGGTAAGATTGACACTAACTATCCCGTTTGTTGAGGTAAGATTAACATTAACTTTCCCGTTTGTTGAGGTAAAATTAACACTAACTTTCCCGTTTGTTGAGGTAAGATTGACATTAACTTTCCCGTTTGTTGAGGTAAGATTGACATTAACTATCCCGTTTGTTGAGGTAAGATTGACATTAACTTTCCCGTTTGTTGAGGTAAGATTGACATTAACTGTCCCGTTTGTTGAGGTACAATTAACATTAACTTTCCCGTTTGTTGAGGTAAGATTGACACTAACTATCCCGTTTGTTGAGGTAAGATTGACATTAACTTTCCCGTTTGTTGAGGTAAGATTGACATTAACTATCCCGTTTGTTGAGGTAAGATTGACATTAACTTTCCCGTTTGTTGAGGTAAGATTGACATTAACCGTCCCGTTTGTTGATGTACAATTAACATTAACTTTCCCGTTTGTTGAGGTAAGATTGACATTAACTGTCCCGTTTGTTGAGGTAAGATTGACATTAACTTTCCCGTTTGTTGAGGTAAGATTGACATTAACTATCCCGTTTGTTGAGGTAAGATTGACATTAACTTTCCCGTTTGTTGAGGTAAGATTGACATTAACTATCCCGTTTGTTGAGGTAAGATTGACATTAACTATCCCGTTTGTTGAGGTAAGATTGACATTAACTATCCCGTTTGTTGAGGTACAATTAACATTAACTTTCCCGTTTGTTGAGGTAAGATTGACATTAACTGTCCCGTTTGTTGAGGTAAGATTGACATTAATTATCCCGTTTGTTGAGGTAAGATTGACATTAACTGTCCCGTTTGTTGAGGTAAGATTGACACTAACTATCCCGTTTGTTGAGGTAAGATTGACATTAACTTTCCCGTTTGTTGAGGTAAGATTGACATTAACTTTCCCGTTTGTTGAGGTAAGATTGACATTAACTTTCCCGTTTGTTGAGGTAAGATTGACATTAATTATCCCGTTTGTTGAGGTAAGATTGACATTAACTATCCCGTTTGTTGAGGTAAGATTGACATTAACTATCCCGTTTGTTGAGGTACAATTAACATTAACTTTCCCGTTTGTTGAGGTAAGATTGACATTAACTGTCCCGTTTGTTGAGGTAAGATTGACACTAACTATCCCGTTTGTTGAGGTAAGATTGACATTAACTTTCCCGTTTGTTGAGGTAAGATTGACATTAACTTTCCCGTTTGTTGAGGTAAGATTGACATTAACTTTCCCGTTTGTTGAGGTAAGATTGACATTAACTTTCCCGTTTGTTGAGGTAAGATTGACATTAACTTTCCCGTTTGTTGTGAAGTTCATATGAAATACCCGTATGGTTCCGGTAAAGTTGATATGAACTATCCGGATGTTTGAGGTAAAGTTGATATGAACTATCCGGATGTTTGAGGTAAAGTTGATATGAACTATCTGGATGTTTGAGGTAAAGTTGATAGAACTTTCTGGATTGTTAAGGTAAAGTTGATATGGATTTTCCGAATTGTTGAGGTAAAGATGATATGAACTATCCGGATGTTTGAAGTAAAGTTAATATGAACTATCCGGATGTTTGAAGTAAAGTTAATATGAACTATCCGGATGTTTGAAGTAAAGTTAATATGAACTATCCGGATGGTTAAGGTAAAGTTGATAGAACTATCCGGATTGTTAAGGTAAAGTTGATAGAACTATCTGGATGTTTGTAGTAAAGTTAATATGAACTATCTGGGTTGTTAAGGTAAAGTTGATAGAACTATCTGAATTGTTAAGGTAAAGTTGATAGAACTCTCTGGATTGTTAAGGTAAAGTTGATAGAACTCTCTGGATTGTTAAGGTAAAGTTGATAGAACTATCTAGGTTGTTAAGGCAAAGTTGATATGAACTATTCGGATGGTTAAGGTAAAGTTGATAGAACTCTCCGGATTGTTGAGGTAAAGTTGACAAGAATGGTTTTAGTGAAATCCAGTTTGAATCGAGCTGCCCCTCAGGATAACGGATATCAGATCAATTCAAATTGATTACTAAAATTTGGAGTTATGCAATCTTTCCGAATTATTGAAATTTATACTTTAAGATATGAATTTCAGGTCATAGACATCCAGTTAAACACATGATTTGTCTGGATATAGGGCCCAGATTTTGGAGTTTGGGATGTAAACTGAATGGATATTTTGGAGCCAGAAAGACACAATATTTCCGGATTACTGGAGTCAAATTTAACAAATGAATAAAATTGTTAATGCGAGATTTACACTATAGGTGTACGAGGTTATTAGTGCGTATGTGAAGCACCGCAGTATTGTCAGAGGAGTATCATTTTTAAATCTATGAAGCGGAGAACAAAGGCGTTATGTTGAACCATTTTAAGGGTCAACGCGAATGACCTGATCAAATATGCGAACACTGACTTTTAGCTTTACATTTTTCAACTGAATTTACTTTAAAATATATTGAAAAAGCAAAACTAACTCTATACAAATCTGCAATTTACGGCGTTATAATTGGAAGTATTTGGTGGTTTTAATACATTCTTTAATGCGATCGTTTAAAGCAAGGGCGACAACTCTATCGGCCTAACACGCCACATATTAAACATTCTCGGTATGACTGATGAGGTTGTATTACACCTGTCAGCTGTAAATTTTGTCTGTTAAGATATAGATCGAGACGGGAAAATAATACCTAACGATTTAACGCTAAATTGTATAAATATTAATTAATTAATTCGTTCCTTTATTTATTTATTTCTTCAAGACGACGGGAATGCCAAACCTTCCCCTCCTCTTTTGATGTGACATGACATGGATAGCGAAGACGTAATACGTAAACATGGCTACACAAATCCAATGTTACAATCTTCAGCTATGCAAATGATACTGATCTACAACGCCTTGAAAGTGACCTGACTTTAAAATGTCCGAATCGGTCCCATAAGCCACATACAGAGAACTAGTCTAATAAAGTCATCGCCGCCATTTCCCATAGAGAGTAGGACAAGCATTCATGTCATACAACACTAATGCCATTAAAATATTGTCCCCTTTCTCACTTCCAGTATTCATTTTTTGAGAAACTTTAAACAATATTCTTATATCATGGACAGATGTTGTCAGTTTATCTACACAAGTTAACTTTTTATTTGACACATCCTACTGCAAGATGTCGTCTCATCGTCTCTCGAAAATGTTCTGTGACCGTTAGATCTATGTAGGTTACTGTGAGACGAGCGCCCCTCCGAGCGACATCGATGTAAGTTACTGTGTGACGAGCGCCCCTCCGAGCGATATCGATGTAAGTTACTGTGTGACGAGCGCCCCTCCGAGCGATATCGATGAAGGTTACTGTAAGACAAGCGCCCCTCCAAGCGATATCGATGTAAGTTACTGTGAGACGAGCGCCCCTCCGAGTGATATTGATGTAAGTTACTGTGTGACGAGCGCCCCTCCGAGTGATATTGATGTAAGTTACTGTGAGACGAGCGCCCCTCCGAGTGATATTGATGTAAGTTACTGTGTGACGAGCGCCCCTCCGAGCGATATCGATGTAAGTTACTGTGTTACGAGCGCCCCTCCGAGCGATATCGATGTAAGTTACTGTGTGACGAGCGCCCCTCCGAGCGATATCGATGTAAGTTACTGTGAGACGAGCGCCCCTCCGAGCGATATCGAGGTCAGTGACTGTGAGATGAGCGCTCCGTCGGGTGATATCGATGTAGGTTAATGTGAGACGAGCGCCCCTCCGAGCGATATCGATGTAAGTTACTGTGAGACGAGCGCCCCTCCGAGCGATATCGAGGTCAGTGACTGTGAGATGAGCGCTCCGTCAGGTGATATCGATG